TTTCTCATGTGTAACGATATTGTTTTATAAGATGTGATAATTTATAATTATTTTACCTTATAAATTATTGATACATTTAAGTCAAAATATCGATATAAATATATTAATTTGTTTTTATAGAAAATAGTAACGAAAGAAAAAAAAATATATATTTTTTTTTCTTTCGTTAATATATATAGGCCTATATATATACAGTACACGTAGCGTATATATTCAGTGTAATGCAATACCGAATTTTAAAATTAGCTAACGTTATACATTTTATTTAAAATATTTTCCGTCATATAAATATGACGTAAGATTGACGTCATAAGCACGTGTGTTTTGTAGGTGTATCGCTGAAGCTTTATAATATAGTTGTACTTATATATGTTCTTTTTTTTTTTTTTACTGTAAATCGAATACAAACATTACGTATGTCATTTTCGTGTAGGCCTACGTAATATTCGAAAATAAAAGTTTGTTGACCGGATATTTTAAAACTAGTACAAAACTTATTGATTGATTATACGAAATGAATCATTCAGTTGTGAAAAACTTTAATAAAATGAAAATATTTTTAAAAGAATATACTTTATGTACAGTCATGTAAACATAATATTTAGGTTTTAAGTAATATCTTTTGAAAAATATTGCATGGTAATTCTAACTGGTTACTGTATTAATGAGACTGTTTTCTAATAAATTAAATCTTATATTGATATGTTTGTGTTAAATTAATGACTATAAACTTTATAAATATATATAGCAGGTAAAGCTTACAGTATAGAATAAATTATATTATACTCGAGGATCGATATGCTATATCCTGTAGGATCTAGTATAGATTATGGACTAGGACGAAATATATCGATCTAAACTATATTCAAAACTTATAAAGTGAGGTAAATAAATATAAAATTTAAAAAAATGTATAAAATAAATTTATTACACGATTTAATGGTTTAATGGTTTAATGGTTATTACACGATTTAATCATTTTATACACAAACTTTAAATATGATATGAAACTCGGTCATTTTATTATCAGAAAATTTGTTAAAGTTATAATTTACTACGAAAAACTTTTAAATATTATCGATCGAATTTTTAAAATATATTCGAGTATTTCCTCTCAAATAAAATTTATTTTTTATTATTTTTTCAATTTTTTGTATTTTATCGAATCATTTAAAGCGTTATGTAATCCCAAAGAAAATAGTAAAATAAGGCAAAATAACATAGAGGAAAATATTTTTCATAATGAAATTTAAATTGTAAAAGAGGATAGAATGTACATGCATCATTATAAGCTATTACTTCACGACATATCTTATATTCTGTATGATGTACTGTACGTCTATTCTTCCTTTACTACTTGGGACGTATTTAGATCAATGAGGTGATCGTGTGATTACGACCTCAACATGCTGGGTGCTCCTTAAGGTTCTTTTGCCTAACTAACCTAAATAATCGACCAAGCGATTATATACATATCCTACTCATAGAAAACGACATAAAAAATCATAAGCGATAAGAATTATAAGTGACTGAAGGATTTTTTACTTACAAAAATATTGAATGATTGACTTAAATCAATAAGAAGTCGTCTAATATTAAAAGCGTATGTATTACATTTTTTTACTGAAATAAATAAATAATAGCAAAAAAAAATGTTAAAATAAAGAAATTACAGTCAAAATATTATTTATATTGTCCTAAATCTGGATCAGCTATATCACTGTTAATAAATTATGGAATTATTAATTTATATATATATATATATATATATGTTTATTTCCTGATAAATATTTCAGTATAAAATTTAAAATATCTAAAAATAATGAATAAAATCTATTTTCCTATAACATATTTGTCTAATGGTTTATTTGGCTTATTTATGAAAGTCGTGGGTTCGAACTTATTAAGATCCAAGTATCGAGATTTTTGTTTCTTTTATTAACTGCATTATTCTCATTTTATTATTAAAAATTTTTCTATATTTAGGACTTTATATAAAATCTAATAGTAATAAATATAAAAATATATTCATTTATTATACATTTGAAAATGTTTAAAAAGAAAAAGAAATCAGAATTTTTCATCGATTCATTTTCTCAATTAAATTTAAAATCAAAGACCATGAGATAATTAATTGATTTAATTAATACATCTACAAGAATCTAACTTTTATTTAAAGTCGTTATCCATATAAATTATTAAGAAATAAATATAGGATATAATTAAATCTTCACACATATATAACTCATATAATAACATTTAGTTAATTTTCTGTAAATAATTTTAAAATTTTCTTTATAATATTCTTTAAACATATTTATTTATTTAATGTAATTAATTTATTTTATGTTTAAATCTATTCATATTCTAAATGAAATCTGCTAATTTGTATAATATATTCATTGTTCTCATGGCATTATATCCTTGTTTATATCAAATACTAGATAATGTAGTAGACTCGACTAAAAACAAAAACAAAATTTATCTCTGTACAAACTTTCAAAGATAACAATTAAAAATAGCTAAATTTTTTTAAACATCTATAAATTTTAAAATATTTATAAAAGCAATTTTTGATCGAAATTATTACAAAAATTATAAAATAAAATATTTTTAAACTCCGAAATATCCAGTTTAATTTTAAATATTTCTCTTATGGGAAATATTTTGTTCGAGATCAATAAAAATTTATATATATATATTTTATATAATTTTTTTATGTTTTAAAAATGGGGAAAATCTCTTAAATTTTCAGACAATGCTTTGGATCAATAGTTCGACCGGTCACATTTCACAGCATTGTAAGTCCCAATGTTAGAATGAGGTCAGTCAACTCGGATCGTCGACTTCTTGACTACATATGATTTGAACGAAACTATATCAAAAAAGGAAGAAATTCTGCTTCTGATATGATAAAATATTCTAAGCAAAGTTCACCAAACAATTTATTACACCTCCTTTCAACTAATCAATAACTACTGAAACAACGGTAGTAGGTTAACCTCTCTACCTTAAAAGATAGCATTACCTGAAATATATTAATGAATTTTTATAAATTATTCGAAATATATTATACTACTAGCTTACCAGTTTGGTGTTATATTAGAAATATTTTACTAGTAAAAAGTTTCTTTAATGTTAAAGGTATGGATATGGCCTACGTAAACTGTTTTTCGGTATTGCATAAGAGAGCTTCAGAGCTATGTTTACTTATTAACTGCAATATCATTTAAATATATATTCTTAAATTTATGATAAATATGTAAGATATCATTAGTTAACAGACTCAAAATCAGTAATCATCCATTTATTTAATCCTTCGTTCGATTATCTATCTATCAATGGTACAATGTTTATACTTAGCATTTTCAAGGTTATATTAACAAGGTCATTAAAATTCGTATTAAAAGTAAAGGGTTTATCTGCAAAATTGAGTTCATATACGTGAAATTTTGTAAATGTACACTTTGTTTTTCAATTAAATGTACCAAATTCGAAGGACCAATTGCCCCAATTTAGTCATTTTATAATTAAGCCATTCATAGATTCGTAACTAATTCGTTTTTATTCAGTTCCTTGTTCTATATTCGATAGTATATATTTACTTTTATATTAAATTTTTATATATTTTAAATCAAAATAAATAGCAAAAATTATTATTTAAATAGCAATTTTATTTATTAATAATGTAACAAATAAGATTAAAATATTTGTTAATTAAATAAATTAAAATTTAAATATTTAATTTCTAACATGATTAATAGTGAGTAATTATTATTATTCATTTAATTAACGTTACAAAGTTCTTTGAAGGAGGTTTGCGGCGGATAGCCACACCACACCGGATCATGACAGTGACCTTCCACTTGCCTACTACACTCGGTTCGATTGGTTGCTTCTTTAATGACGTCATACCGGTTGTTAACGTTGCTAGGAGACCGAAGTAAAAGTTTCTTTTACGTAATAGCGGTGGCTACTAGTCGATCATTATTTACCGAAAATTTGGTTGTATGAGGTGATTGTACCGTAAAAGATGCTTTACTTAATGAATCAAACACTTCATTCCAGTCAATTTAATACCGACGGACAATCTGTGACCTTATTAAGGAGGGGTTTCGTCTCTGAAGGATGTAGTGGGTAACATAACAATGGACCATTTGTCTATTGACCTAGAATTAGCACCACTTACTACGAGCCACAGAAAGAATTTTACTGTTTATAGTAAATCAAAAATCTTTATCCACCTCTTTCATTTTTATTTTTGTCACAGGAAATGCAATTTTATGCCTTGGGATTTTTTTGTAAGTCAGCTTTTAATATGTATAGAAAATCATTCAAAAGACCCTTTCTCGTTCGTTAAATCATTAAAAAAAAAAAAAAAGGTTATAACGTGATATTTCCTGATCACGTGATGATAAAATGGCGTACGTGACGAATATCATCATCATGGTATGTAATATTGGTCAGGTGCCAAGTCGCTTATTTGACATAATTTTTAATTTTATAGGTGTATTAGCATACACTTTCCTGTTTCAAAAGTTTTTTATGCATAAATTATTATCAGCGTATTTCTTTTGTTCTAATCTTTAAATCTCCTATAAATGTCATTTTCTAAATATTCAATAGTTTAATAATTTAAGATTAGAGATCGATTAAAAGTTTTTATTTTCTTATTTCACGATATCAAATACTTGATAAAGGTTTTATAGATGTCGAATTTAAAATAAAAAAAAAAACTCTAAAAAATTTATTAAAATTTATATAAGGAAGCATTAATTAAATGCAACATTTGATGACGTTTTGTTTCCTATTGTTTATTACATCATTTCAGATTTTATAAGAATGCTTTAAGAGATAAATGGCAAATGTATAAATGAAATTTCTATGCAAATTTATTTAAGATTAATATTCAAAGTCGAAAAGCCGTTTTGAATAATAATTAAAGCTTTTGACTTCAAGACCTGTTGAGTAAGAGCAAAGTCACCTGGTTAAGGTGAGAACTCAACGTCATTTGTATGTCCTTGTACAGCGTCTCATATAATAATTATAGAAATGTTTTCTTCCTTTTTAACGGCTAATTAATCGCTTCATCGTCTCATAAATGTATGTACTTTTATTTAAATTTAAAATAATAATTTTTCTTTTTAACTCCTGTTTCAAGAATGCATTCTGTTTTTGATAAATTTATTTTTAAAAATTCATAAATTTTAATGTAAAAAATGCTAATAATATTCTTAAATATGACAGAATTATTTATTACATTACATTATTTTTTAATAATTATATTATATTGATATATATATATATAATTTATTTAC